AAAAGGAAGCGAAGTTGGAGGCTCATTCCCCTTCGCCTTGTCCAGTTGCCCTTCGGTTTCCTGTAACATGTAAATGCCCCGTCTCTTGGCTCGAGTTCCCCCTCCGTGATATTTAGTGTGATAATTGAAAATGAAATGGGGAGCGTAACTGTTTGATTTTGCGCGATCTGGGAGTGTGCGTCGGCAGCTTGGAGCTGCTGCCGGGCGAATTCCGGGCGAGTTTGTTTTTTTTTTTACTGTTTTCCTTTTGTGAGATTGAGCTAATAAAGAAGTGAATCTATTGCTTGGTGTTGCACTTCCCCGCTAGGCAGGGCCCCATCTCCAGCTCCTCCTCCGCCCGAACGTTACAAACAGACATCGTGTGCACTAGGACAGTTGGTCTGACAAGGAGTTTGTTGCAGTTCTGTGCAGAGGAAAGTTGCTGTTAAAAATGTTCACTGCTTTACAGCTTGGTAATTGAAAAAATTTCTGACTGGGCAGAACTTTCATGTGTCTGAGCGTGGCGGAGTCGCACATGGACGGGGAATATTCTTCCTATAAATTTAGCTTTCTGTCTTGTCAAGTTTTCGAGTTGGAAAATTCCTCGCCAAAAATTTCGTGTGGCTTTCCGTAAGATTCAAACGCACACAGAAACCCAATCTGTTTCGGCATTGAACATAGACGCGTAACATCCTCCTAAAACTTAAGCGTCTTAGCTCTGGCTCCCGAGCTGGCAAATTTCCCGCGAAGACTTTCATGTCCGTACGTAAGACCTAGGCATATGTAGAGGCTGGTTTTGAATTTGCTGGCATGCAGCATCCTCCTAACTTTCCTGTTCCTGAGTTGACAATCCTGGACAAAACCATACACATATGCACACAAGATCGTAAGATTTCGGGCTCAAGTTAGCACTTGTTGACTCGAGAATACCCAACAAAGCAGAAAGTGGGTAAAGAGAAAGGAGGGCGTTAATATCCATGCAATAAACAAGCTTCAAAAGGCATGCAGAATAAAATCATTCCCCCGAAGAGCTGCTGCAAAAACAACTGGTCCCTTCAGCGTCCGCTGATTTAGCGCAAAATAAACGTACTGAGCGCAAAAAGCGGCAACACGCTTTGGAAAAACGGTTATGCGAATTGTTTGACAAAGAATTTCCTCGTTCACCAATATTTCCCTGATAATGTCTTCTTTATGTTGAAAGTCAAAATTATCACTGAATTGAGATAAGATATTCGGTGAACAGAACGCCACGCCCGTATCCCGAAGATTGTTGCATACTTCTGATTCGGCCTTGAAAACAGCCTGAAACTATGAAATGATGTGATCTGCTTTGATAATATGTCTGCAATGCAGCATAATCATAAATTAAGAAAGTCAAAAAAAAAGTGAAAGCTTTTCGTAATTCATTATAAAACTCAGAAATTCTTAGCAATAAACTAAGTGGTAGCAAATGCCAAAAGCAGTAAATCACCGTTCGGCGCCCTCTCCCACTCCGCTCTACATAAATCTCTCAAAAAGCAGGTAGTTTAGCATCAATATGGAACATTTTTCGGGACAAAATCACAGCATACCTTGTTCATATCCAGCTGCGTGCTACTATCTTTCTGATGGTAGAACATCAGCTTACCAGTCTTCTTCTGGTAAGCAATCACGGGACAAATCTCTTTCCATTCAGTATAAAAAAGCAACATCACATTGCTTTTATCCTTCCTCATCTCCCTGAAATGCAACAGTCCAATGATTTGAGGTTTTGGCTTACATAATATTACTTTACAATGCCTCGTACGCTTCAAGAACCGAGAAATTTTTCACTTTTGCAGCTATAATTTTTACATAGAATTAAACCTCTCTTTTTTGCGAAATTTACAAAATTTTTCAACATTTCCCTACAAAATCTCGCACTGTTTCATCATTTTTTACTAATACTGCAATTTCTTGCCATTTCTAAACAAATGTATATTTTTTACATTAAAAAAGGGGAAAGAAGGGAAGTGGAGAAAGGCAAAGAAAACAACGGAAGTCCAAAATAAAATGCAAAAATAAGTCATTCTAGTCCAACGTGCATGTCTTAGCTCAATTAGAACTTCAAATGGACTACTAAGAATTTCAGAGGGCCACAGGATGCAATCATCGGACAATTAACTTACGAACCATCTCCACTATGAATCAACAAAATCACACATACTACCAATCTCCTATGCTCCTCTATAACGGCTTTTGTCAGCAAGAAGTACAGTGGGAATTAAAAGTACGGAGAAATTCCTCATTACGAATGCAGAATTAATCGAAAACAGGTAGAACGGTCATTCGAAAACGAAAGACAAAAAAAAACAACCTGAAATCGTTAATATGCGAGCGGATGTCCACCGCCGCAATGGTGACAGGAGATGTAAGCAGCAGAAAATCAGAGGTTATGACGGATCGAGCATGCACTTCACGAAGAGCATCACCAACGCTCAAACAGTTCTGGAAGCATATAACGACCAATGAATCGACCAATACTTTCCAGTAGCTGTAAAAATGGGGCATAATCGCATGTGAGAAAGAAATTACAGCAAACAAATTTCAAAATGACTTAAAGCAATTTGGGGATGTGCAAATACTCATTTCCAGGATATTCAACTTGGTGCCCCAGCCCCCTAGTCCGTAAAGTTCTTCATCGCAGTTTAGAAATGAAGACTTTTCAGACAGGCAGATGATATTATGCCCCTGTACTTTCACCGAAAGAATCATCGAGCTGGCAGCTCATTAGGAGAGCAAATGCAATGAGGGTCATCATCATCAGGCTGGCCAAGAAGTGATGCAAAAGTCGTCAAAGCTGCCAGCAGTACAAAACGTTTATTGTCACGGGGTTGTCTGTGTGCAACTTGTTCGCAACTTTCAACTCGGGAGCCACAAAAGCCAAGAAGCTGAAAATTTACAGGAATATCCCCCACCCATGTGTGACCCCGCAAATTCAAATTTAGCCTCCCCGTACCTGCGGTAACAACGGCGCCGTGAAACTTTTGGAGGTTAAATTGTTATCACGGGAACCGCAAAATCTACGGAGCTGAAATTTTATGAGTATGTCCTCTACCCACGTGCGGCCCAGGAAATTTGAATGCAGCCTTCCCGTGTTCGCGAGCAACAAATACGGCTCAATGAAAGTTTTGACGGGTAAATTATTATCTCAGGGACCGCGGATCTAGGAAGCTGAATTTTAGGGGACTGTCCCTGCCCACTTGCAACCTCTCAATTTAAATTCAGAGCAGTGAAAATCATTAGCAGACATTTGTTCGGTGGACGGAACTGCACAAAACGCATGATTACACCGGCTGCTCTAGTGCGCGTGGCTATTTGTTTCTTTTAAATCACATTCATAACCGCACTTGCGTGGCCCGGTTTTTAACTTATCTATCAGCCATCATCTCCCCATAATGGCTGTTAGCCGCTCGGAATTAGTCCTGCAGAAGTTTGCTTTTTCCTTAGTCCCTGCTTAGGATTTTCTTAATTATTCTTACTTCTCCAATATTCTTCGTTTACACCAGATTTACTGAGCTATTATAGAGAAAACAGCTATACTCGATAATAGGCTGGACTGCTGGTTGTGAAGTAGACGATACGGCCACCACAATATTGTTAATGCCATTTCTGGTAATCCAATCAAATGTATAGTGCAACAGTTCGATATTCCCTAGTTTCACACAACTCTGAAGAAAACACTTTTACATCCCATGACTTGATTTTGCTCAAACACATCCCAGCTCATTTTTCATCTTCCCTGCCCTCCTATATCTCTGCCTCACCTCTTAGTTTTTATGCGCTTTGTACTGTGTAACAACAGTAAAAAACGTATATTGTCACGTCGTTGTTTGTGTGTGTGTTTGTCCGCAAGATTTTGTCCCGCACTTTCAACTCGGGAACCGCAAAAGCTAGGAAGCTGAAAATCTAGAGAGACGTTCCCCGTCCACGTGTGACTCCGCAAATTTAAATTCAGCCTTCCCGTATTCGAGAGTACCACCCACCCCTTTGAAACTTTTCGCGGGTAAACTATTATCTCGGGAACCATGGAAGCTAGGAAGCTGAGTTTTTTTTTATGGGTATGTCCTTTGCCCACGCGCAATCCAAAAAAATTAAATTCAACCTTCTCGTACACTTCGGTATCACGTACGGCCCCAAGAAATTTTTGGCGGGAAAATTATCGCGGGAACCGTAAAAGCTGGGAGGTCGAAATTTGACAAGAATGTTTCTTCCACACGTACAACCCCGCCATAAGCGGATCCAGGGTGGACTCCTTGAACAATGGGGAGTAGGGCAAGGGGTGAGGGAGAATGGAGTTCCTGGGGAGGAGCGACGAAGGCTGGTAGAGGGTGGGCCCCTGGCTTTCCCAAAGAATGTTTCGATAGAAGTAATTTTCATTGCTAAAAAAATGTTTCGATAAAACGAACATAAGTGTTTCTTTTTTTAAGCTATGTAAAAATAAATCTGGCTAAAAGTTATCAGAAAAAACAGTTCATCGGTCGGAAAGGATGATTGACGAGGGCGGCACAATGGCGAGGTCATCTACACAAGCAACGAAGGAACAATAAAATGATCATAGCAAGAGCATAAGGACAGCTGCGAATTCATAGCTGATCCGCCAGCTGCAACTTTTCTGGTTGCTTTATGCCGTGCTGTACCACAGGAGGGCCAGTCTACTCTCATTAAAACATACACACTCAGTGGTTCCGGAGACAGAAGCACTTTGCAAGACTTAGCAAATATGTCACTGGTGTGTGTGTGTGTGTATTGAGTATCACCGATTCGTTCTAGTGCATATAATGCATGCACTGGCCCCTATCCTCAAAATCGACACTCTTGCTCATGTGGTTCCCACGCAGAAGCCCGTGAAAGTTTTTTGCGGGAAAGTTGCTGATTCGGGAATCTGAAGAGCTAGAAAGCTGGAATTTTAAGGGGATTTCCCCTGCCCATCTCAGTTAACCGTGAGGCACCTTACCAGATGAGGAAATAAATTAATCGCAGCCATTTTTTTTGCTAAAAAATGTGTACGAAGGCGATCGCTACACAAAATCCGAGGTAGGAAACGAAGAGAACAAGGGGAGAGGGAAATGAACAAGTGGGGGGGGGGGGGGGGGGGGGGGG